GCGGGGGGGGGGGGGGGTTCGGCTCTGGGGCCTTTCCGGGTGCCGGGAGGCTCCTCCTGTTCGTCACAGCGCTGCAACCCTGGCCGCAAGGGAACCAGCTTGGCCACTGCTAAGGTGTTGATGCTCCAGGAGACCGTCATGATCACAACCTGGGAGGCTGTGAGTGATCGCAAAGAAGAAGCCTACATAATTGTATACCGAAATTGAGGGTTCGTCGTCGTTGTAGAGCGGGTATTTAGTTGGATGTACAGGAGTTTCCGGTTCAGGCCTTAAGTTGCTAAACAGCTGCTTCAGCTCTTCGCCTACCAGCTCCGTACCCGATCCTCCCCGACTTTACCACCTGATCATAACTCCGAAACCACAAACATTTTCCAACAAGCCTCGCAGAAACAAACGCGCCTCAATCCGTTCTACGGCCTCTAAACCCAAGTCCGTGAGGTCTGAAACCCCATGAGCATTCCAGTCCTGACTCCTCCAAAAGCAGGATCCCAAGTAAGAAAAGACTTGAATTCTCTTCCCGATGACCTTGCAAGCTAGAGAATCCTTGCTTCGACAATGCTACCATACAATGGCGTACTGTACAGTACTACTTGCACTGTACTACACCATGCTGGCTTGATGCTCGCTTACATTCTCTGTTCTGTTGCACTCTCCCCCCAATAAGGTTATTGTCCCATGAAGCAAAGCTGTACATGCGTACATACAAGCATTCATGCATGCCGATCTAGCCCTGTGCGCTCCTGTAAACTCTGGGCCAAGAGACGAAGCCGCCGAGGAATTCGAGGTCCGCCAGCCCGGAGGCTGAATAGCTCTGGTGGAAACCATCCCGAAGTCGCTCCTGCAAGTAGGGCTTTCGGCGTCTTTCCTCCGAGTATCTTCCGGTTACTGTATGTGTGGTTGCTACATGTAAGGTGCTTAAACAAAGTGGTGCAAACACAAGCATCGTTACCGGTGCAATCGTCTTATGCTTGTGGAGCAGAGCTTGGAGCTTCGACATTTGCTTCTGTGATGTCCCGGATCTCGCTGATTTAACAAGAGGACTCGAGGATGCTCATTCCTTGCTGGTGCTGCTGTTGCCACAACTAGGTATCAAGATATCACAATGGTGTAGCCCCACACCCCTCCACTTCCGCCACACCGTACCCAGGCTGAAGATCCGCTGCGCTGTCATGAAAAGCCGAGGAGTTCTACCGGAGTTCCCCCTTCTAGAGACCTGCTTCTTGCAGGAAAGCCATGGAGAAAAACTGACCAGCCGAGAGTCGAATGGCTCCCACCTTGGCAAAGGCAGGAAGTGTTTGTGCGCAATCTGCATCAGGCTACTACATGGCGACGAGGATGGCAAGGCCAGGTAGACTCGGATTTCAGCAGCTCACGAGTCCGAGACCGCGGCCATCTAACAGGATCCGGGAACTCCAAGAACCAGGACCTGCTAACAGAGAACTCCAACAGCAGATCCGGACGTCCCTTTTGCCGCATCCCACGAACCTGCCTGGGTGGCCAGGCGCCCCCCGAGGTGTGCTGGACCAAGACACTCAAGCCCACCGCCGTGGCGATGACCAGAGGAGTACTGAAGATATGCCATTCCCTTACCTTGGAGAAGCGCTTCTAGCGTTGGGGCCCCGATACGAGTTTTGTCTATCACGGGCCTACAGGCACTCTGAGCCAGGCAAACGTATGTTTCAGTTGTGGCTGCCGGGTCACATGCTCCAGGACTGAAGAAAAAGCGATGGAAAGGGCGATCCTTGGGTCAAAAGCAGTGGAGAAATACACTTGCCATGACGAGCACCGTCATAACGCTTTTCTGCTCTTTGGGCTGCCTCTCGTGCTTTCATCAAGGCCGAAGGAACGCTCTAGCAAAGGCTTGAGTCAAACAGCGCATTGCCTAAATCCCACACCACAGCCCATCTTACTACGATGGAACCCCAGACCTTATGCTACAACGTAGTATCTCAAAGTATCATATAGTACAAAAACAGTAATTATAGGATAACATCAGATAGTACAGTATTCTATACCCTATATGTACCCTTAAGGGTCCCTAGAAAGGCCTACAGGCCCATACTTCTAACCTTAGAAGTATAGTAGAGCATGACGTCGCTTTCTATGGGCGTCCCAGCTGCTGGGCCCAGGGCCCTGCTACCTCGCTCGGGCTGGCGAAGGAACGGCGGATCAGGGCCTGGGCGCTTGAGGCTGCAACTTCGGACTTAAGAATAATAGTATAGTATAGCATAATATCGTATAGTATAGTATAGTATAGTATAGTATAGTAGAGTAGAGTAGAGTATAGTATAGTATAGTATAGTATAAATATAGCATGGTATAATGTGACAGAAGATGATATAGTATAATATAGTATCGTATTATATGGGGGGGGCTTGGGCTTCTGTGCTTTCCGAGGTTGGCCTGTCATGTCGCTTATGCTTCGGGTGTGCTGCAGCCATCACGAGTCCTACACAAGAGCCTGTCCTTGTGCTTGGGGTCTCAACTGTGGCTCGCAAGGTTGGAGCCATTTCAGAAAGCGGACACGAGCTGTGCGACCTCCCCCCTCGCGTCCAAGGTGCACCTAGGTCTTCGCCGCCGGCCAGTGCCAGCGACTCCTCTCGTGTCTGCTGATTCTTGGGCTCAGGTTTCTTCGGAGGCTGCTGGGATGAAGAGATGCGTTGATGTCTGTATGGGGGGAGGCTCAACAAGGTTCTAGTCGCCTCAGAAGATAGGGGAGGCCCTGGCAGGAGGGGAGGAGTATCCACACTCCTGCAGAATCAAGATGCCGCTACCGGCCAAGAACCCGCCGACCACTGTGTAGGGGATGAAGCGTAGCATCATGGCCTCAGAAGCTGAAGGAGGCACAGTATCCTCCTTGGAGAATCGCCACTGTCCTCATGGATTCCAGGTAAGCTTTGGGGCACGCGCGAGCTTCAGCTTGCCCACAAAGTACAACACGATGCCCAGGCAAAATGAGATCACCGGCATAAGGAGCATCATGCTGCAGAGGATCATCTCCTGCACACTCTGCACTCCGGGCTCCTGCTTGCTCCACTGACTTCAAAACTTGAGGGTCCTGGCTTCCTTCTCCGGTTTTGAAACGGGCCACCTGTGCCAATATGCACGGAACAGCACATGGTCACATGGTAGGCTCTCTCTGATACTGCAAAACATCGACATGCCATTGCTGCTTCTTAGATTCTTGACTTTGGGCTACGTCTGAGTAGGAGGGAACTTTAGGGTCCTGGAGTCCTTCCACACCACCTAAAGCCGCTTGGGATGTTCACTTCAGCCCCATGAAGAACATCTATCTGCAAGCAAGGGCTTTCCGGAAACAAGCTTCAAGAGGGACCTGAAATCATACTGTACATGCGTGTGCATGTTGCTGACAGCGAAGCATGACGCCCTCAACCATATCATCCCAATGCTCAATGCGGGGATAGCACCTTTCGGGCCAACTGGCCAAACAGGATGGCAGTCAGTGGATCCAAGTTCGTTGTGGTCACGAACTGTCCAATGACGAGTGCAATGATGGATCCTTGGCCAATCAGTTGCTGGCACTGAGAGTCCCTCTCCGGCTCGCTTCGAACGGCGTTGATTCCTGGCCAAGTCCCGACAGTATTTCTTGCTGGGCACCTGGAAAGACACTGACGAAAAGAATGCAATCCGAGATTCCGATCATTTGTGTCCACATCACCTGCCTTGGACATGTTTAGACGCCGAGACCGAAACCCATTCAATTTCACTGATGTTTGAAACTTCACTCTTGCACGCACTGCTGACCAGCTTTCTACCGTTCGATCCAGACATCTGCACCTTTACCCTTTCGGGTTGCTGATTAGTGTCAAGACTCAAGACTTCGTGGCAGACGGGTACCGGAAGGATCTTTTAGGCTGATCAAGCCATGCTGCTGCAATACGACTGGAAAATTCGCCTGCATGGAAACGTCGTTGCAGACCAACGCTGCATAGCAGGTAGCAAAAGGCACAGAGATTGCGGGTCCCAAGAAGATGGCCAGCCAGTCCTTGAAACCAGAAGACAGCAACGCTATCTAAGTTACGAGCCCTTGAACTCCTACGATCAACTATTGCACCTGAAAGGAAGACTTTTCGAAAGGGATTCACATTCTGAGCTCTGGGTAGGATGGCAGCACGTTCAGTACATGTACTAGCTACTAGTACTGGCACTGATACTAAGACCAATACTAATAATCATCATGCTGGTAATCATGCCTTGAGAGTCTGACAGGTTCAGCCAAGCCACGGATCGCCTGGTAAAGCTTCGACATTCCGTCGTCCAGATGCCGAGGCTTTCTTTGGGCGGTTGGAGGACCGGAAGCAAAGGCTCTGACTTCATGGCGCGAATTCAATGCGATGCACTCTATGTGTAAAGGGAAGAAGGATCAGACGGAGTGCCCGGAGCTGTTGTGGAAACGAGCGAAGAAGTGTAAGGCATCACTGCCAGTTAGGCTCGCTTGAAAAACACAAAACTCTCCCTCTCTCTCTCTGTATATATATATATATACATATACACACATATATAGATATATGTACATATCATACATACATATATATATATATATGTATGTATGTAGGACGGCATGAGTAAGACATTGTGTCAGCTCTGCAGGTCGGTGAGGCGGTCCTGAAGAAGCCCTGATAGTGAGAAAAGGGCTTGGGGCATGTCTATGCGGCTTTGCCGGAGCACTGTTCATATGAGATCTAGAGTGGGGGGAGGGGGTCAACTGTCCATGGGTCTGAGCAAAAAAACAGAGTGCACTTGGACAGTTCCGCCAACATGGGCCGACGTTGAAATGCAAACCGCGAGCTGTAATCCCTCCTGGTACATTGTAGCCATTCACGTTAGATGGTAAGAGCCAAATGCATGTCCATACCTACCTAGCACTCGAGTACACATGTCCCACACTTGTGTAGAAGCTGTTTTCCTGGCTAACGCTGAAAGTTGCTGGTCTCATCGAAGGATGCCATGCGCTCAGCCGTAGAGAGCACCTGGCACCAGGCGGCGACCGTCCGGGAGCAACAGATGAGGAGAGCACCACACATTTGCCGGCCTAGCCAGGAAAACCATGCATCCTCACCTGTGCATCAGAGGCACTTGCATTCCTTCAGCTGCTTCAGATGATGGACTCCCTGTCAGACTGTCAGACGGATTCCTTGTGGACTGTCTGCTGGCCGATTCTCCTGGCAGGTCCACGTTTGTGCCTGACAGCTGCGAATTGACATGCGTCGAAGCTGTCCTCGGAAGGCACCAGGGCCACCTCTGCTGCATCTTCCACCAGGGCATTTGCGTCAAAGTCTGACTGAGAGCGCCTCAGCTTACAGCTTCGAGAGATGCCGCGTTCGAGCGAATTCTTACACCACATGCAAACGGCGAGAGGCTCTGTCGAAGCACGGAGAGGCACCGGTGCCGTGGGGAAGGACCTGTGCCAAGAATCCCGGCGACCGAATTGGTCGCTAGCACGGCTGCAGTATCGCACTCTCCTGAAACGACGTAAGCGGTGTGCGGTGATTTACACGGTGGATCATTCCCGTCTGACATGTGCATACGGCATAACGGCATAACGCTATTTCGGGGTCACAGCCGGCCATCCAGAATTGCAGCTGCATCCGTTGTCCATGCCTGCCCGCAGAAGTGGATGCCAGCATCGCAACCGACGGTCCTCAGAAGGCTCTTAAGCTCCGAAAACTGCCAGCTCCTTCGACTCTCAGCGCATTGACAAGTGCGATTGAGATGCTGCCGGCTTCGCGGCCGCCCTGGTCAGCAAGCCAGGTGTCCGTTCGCTAATCGAATTGGCAGCCTACTCTATGCGCGTATGGGAAACATAGTAAGGTAAGCCCGAATAGTAGTAGCAGAAGCATAAGCCTACCGACGCAAGTAGAACGAATCCGAATGCTAAGTGAACCGTAGAACGGACACTCGCCTCAGTCAGTACTGCGAGGAGGACAAGACAGTGACAATAAGCTAGAATATGCTAGAATCACTTTGCAGCGATACGAACAGCCAAATACGTGCGCAAGTCGCCATGTCGGAAGGAAGCAGATTTTGAAAGTGACTGTGCCCTTTAATCGGGTCCTGCATCTGCTTCGACGCGCTTTTTGCCTGTGCCTCTGCTACTCTGCTGCCTTCGCTACCATTACTAATCATTACTAATCCCAGTTCACTTTCCCTCCCTGGAGTTGTTTGCTGGCTACGCCTGCTTGCTGTTTGGAGCTTTTGTTGTTGCGACCGTTGCTGTCGCCGTAATATGCTTCGGGCCGACGGCTATCAGAATATTCAAATCCCGAAAACGAATCGCTAAGCCCGGAGCCCTAAAAGCCAGAACCGTAAGTTTACGGACTAATCCCGAAGCTGAATCCCGAACCCTACCAACCCGAATCCCCCCTTCCGCTCCCAAATCAAAACCCTGACATCCTAAATCAACAAACCCGGATAGTACAGTTGTACTATGCTAGGTTATACCATATTCGACTACATCAGACCAGATTAGATGACATTAGATCAGATGAGCTTGGATGAGACTATGCTCCAAGATCTCAAATTTTGCAAGTTGGCTACGGCGGCCTCCCGGCCCTGACGCTCCGCCCGGCCGCTGTCCGACGGTGGAGGGGCCTGCAGGCAGCAGGGCCTACTTTCGAATAAGGACAACACTCACACATACACACACTCACTCTCTCTCTCTGTCTATATACATATATATATACACACACATACATACACTATGTGATGCATAACATATGCTATATAATCTACAATGACTAAGTAAAGTAAGCCTGTCGTCTCTAATGTAGAGTAGCATGTGTAAACCACGCAGAGTGTGATCATACGAAGCTGTAGAAGCTGAAATATCTCTGCTTAGTGTCGTTTATGTCTACTTCAGTTCGATTCGTTCGAGTCAATGCGCGTGCTTGCCTTCTCACACTGGCGTTCAGCATGGCATGTTAGCATCCAACTGCAGGAGCTGTACACCAATTGCACCGGTCAAAGCTCTGACCCAGCCTTGCTCGCCGGCTGCGGTGCCCTCGGAGTGCCGCCGTCGCTAAGCGCCCGCCGCTGTTGCCAGAACTGGATCAAAAAAGGGCGTGCAGCTTGGAGGGGTCAGGAACGGAAGGTTGCGCTGGGCCGGGGGTGGTTCTTGTGTCGCAGTGCAGGACGCACTGGAGTACAGGAAGGGCCGCTAGCAATTCAACTTGCGCTTTCCTTCGATTCGCTAGTCGACTGATGCAACATGTGCACTGTACTGCATCAGAACGGCACGAAGTGCAAAACGTTGGACGCATCAAGAGAAACGGCCTCTGCCCGAGTTTCTGGAGCCCCAAGATCTTCCAGGCTGGTGGCACGGCGGCCCTGCAGAAATTATCACAGGGGTGGAAGGTCTTGCTTGGCGCAATTGAAGATGCCCGTATCGCTTCGAGACAGGCTCGCTTTGAAGGGCGAACCTGCAGCTCTCACGTCGGTATGTGTGCACTGGAGTCGAAGATAAGTGACGATCTTAGCACGGGAAAGAGGATACACTAAACCAAACCAAACAAATTGCATTAGTCGTCGCCTTCTGTGGCCAGAGAACAGACAGATCAACAGGCCTGCCTGTAGTTGTCCTATGAATACACTAAATTAAACAGCCACTGCTAGCGATAAAGATGTGGGTCGTAGTGGTGGCAGTATCAGCAGTCGCTGCTGTCTGTGTGGTGGTGGAGCTGTCGTCTAGTTCGCCCTTCTTCTGTTGATGAGTATGACTGTGGAACTTCCACCTTCCTATACAATGTCTATATACAGAGAGAGAGAGAGGGAGAGAGAGAGAGAGAGATACACATGCCGAAACCCATACACATGCACATACACGTACATGTACACCTACACGTACATGCATACATACGTACATGCATGTACGTTTTTGGCGTGTGACCGACAGTGCTCAGAATCTAAAAAAAAACATCCCTAAACCCTAAACCCTAAACCCTAAACGAGGATGCATCGATTGCTACGTGCAGACGCGAGAAGGCCAAGCCCCGCACAGCGAGCAGGCGACCTGGGCTCAAGGAGCAGCTTGGGCTTTCAGAGTTTGGGAGGTTTAGGGCCTTTTTGTTGTTGAGGACCTCTAGGGTTTAGGGTTTTTTGTTGAGGACCTTGGGGGTTTAGGGTTTTTGGTTGAGGACCTTTAGGGTTAGGGTTAAGGCAGTTCGGTCCTGGATTTGTGGAGCTTGAGGTTTGGTGCATCTTGCCGCGAGAGAATGCTTATCTCACTAGGAAGGCTTTGAAACGAAGCACAAGACAGGCTGCAGTGAATCACATGAATCACATGACATGGTAAGATTTTAGTGCAAGGTGTTCATCCCTGGCCAAGCGTGCTGGGGTGCCGTGAAGATACAAGGAGCTGGCAAAGCGAAAGAAAAAGTCGCAGCAGTTCGGTCTGCCAGTTTTTGGCGTAGACACACAAGATGCACTACACAAGTCCACAAGCGAGTTTTTGTGGGTTTCCTCTGCTACATTGCTGGGGAGTGTATGCCAGGCGGCTGCAAGGAGCCGTAGCCGGCGGAGGCACGGCCGGCTGCAAACTGCCACAGCCAGGCTCCAGCTCACTGCCGCCACTGCCTTCAGCTGGCTCGACAGGTTCAGCACCGCCCTCCGAGAGCTCTTCCTGCTCCGCAGGCTCCTGAAAGGCAGGAATTGACTTTGCAAACGTTTCTGCTGTGCCTCTGAGACAATCTGGGGGGCAACGGTCTCTGCATAGAGCCAGACTGGAACAGCGGCATCGGCAAGGCAGCGGCTCCTCTATTTCATGTTCATGGTGTCCTGTATGCTGGAGAGCTGGGGTAGAAGCCGACACCTGGTCGCAGAATACGGACATGGCCTCGTAGCCTCACGCAAACCCTCTCTTAATGTCGTCTCGAGCCTGGCTCAGCTCTGCTTGGATCGGCTCGATGAGATCGGGCTCGGCAGGTTCGCTGATCTGCTGAGTCTGCTCCTGTACTTTTGGGACCCCAACCAGGCTGTGCTTGAGTTGCACTTCTTGTGGGTACATGGCTTTGCAAGATATCGGGGCACGTACGAGGAATCTTGCCTGATGTTCAGAGTACCCGCACCAATCAACACGTGAGTCCTCCAAAATCTTGAGCAAGTGCAGGAGGACCTGTTCATGCAAAAGAAGTTGCAGGACTGTGTGCACACGAAAGCACGAAGGATCCGTGCATCCATTTTGCGGCTTTGGCCTGGTAGCCCTCACGCACGCCATCCAAGTAGCAGCTGTCCTGTTACAAGTTGCACACTGAACGAACGCAAGCCTCGGGTATCTTCGGAAGTGCCTGGAGTCATTCCGAGAAAAAGGGATGTGCAGGTTTTTTTCGGCAACAAGATTCGGTCAACGGCTCAACTTACGCGTCCTGGCAAAACATGCTAGCAGTCCACGTGCTCACGACACGCGGCACGGTAGAGCTGGAATTGCATTGCCTACTCATCGACCGCTGGTTATCCCTCCCCGGACGGGATCTCCTCGTCGAGCTCCCCCTCCTTCGTCCTTATTTCAGCCCAATCACAGACTTCCGTCTTCTCTTCTCCGACCACTGCAGTCTCACGGCGACTTAGACTAGCAGTTGTTAACCTGTGTGTGAGTTCTTCCATGTGGGCTTCTTTCTGTTCTGCTGAGCTGCATCTGGCATCGAGCGAATCCCAGCAGCTGCACGTCGAAGCCCTTCTCCTATGAAGCGGCTGAAGCTGTCGAGGGGAGACTTGGGACGGTCGTAGAACAGCTCCAAGAATGTCATGAAACAGCATGTGGCAATCAGCACGGTTCTCAGTGACATCCCGATGGGTGCTTCAGAAGCTGCTGCGATCTCTTCCACAACGGTAGCCTTCACAGAAGGAACTCGTATCCATTAGTTGCTATGATGGAGGAGCGAGGAGAGTCCTGAAAGCGCCGAGCGTTGCAGACGGAGCCTGTGAACAGGGGGTCGGGTCACGCCAGAGCACCTCATTGACCAGAGTTAACGCCTGTCACTAGCAGCAACTCACGGTTAACTGAACTTACCCTGTCTACAAGGTTGAATATCCCCTTCCAAACATGTCAACTGACGCGATAAGGAGCATATTCTCACCAAACTATGCCCTGCACTCCCCGCGCCGTTCACCACGAAGTGTCGAAAACGAGGCGGAACGGGAGGTGTGTCCGTCTGGCAGTATGCTGCCCACCTCCACGCGACAGGACCGGAATCGAAGGATGAGCTCTCACCTAGAGCCAGTCTCGATGGCACTGCCATCCTTTGAGAACAAAGGTGCACTTCACGATGCCAGCCAAGAGGCAATGCATCCTGTAGCGCCATCCGCCCCACGGAATCTGATCACATCGTGGATGTCAATGATGCAATGCCGACTTGAGAAGCAAGGGTCCGAGATGAAGGTCTATCGGATGCGCTCCAAAGACAAGAAACGAGAAGCAACAGCAAACATAGCATCTTCATAAACAGCAGCAGAGTAACCCCTGTGCCATGTGCAAGCAGCATCAACAGAACCAGCAGCAGTAGCAGCAGTAGCAACAGACATGTCAACAGCAACAGCAGCAGCAGCAGCGGCCGCGGTGGCGGTGGTAGTAGTAGCCGTCGTGCCGGCATTTGTTGCACAAATCCCTGTAGTAGTAGGCGTGGTTGTAAACATTAGTGGTAATGGGAGTAGCAGCAGCAGCAGCAGCAGGATTATTGGCAGCAGTAGCAGTAACGGTAGTAGCAGTAGCAGTAGCAGTGTAGTAGCAGCATGAGATGGTGGTAGTGGTGGTAGTAGTAGTAGTAGTAGTAGTAGTAGCAGCAGCAGTAGTGTGGTATTATTGTTATTATTATTATCATTATTAGTAGTAGTAATAGTAGCGGTAGTAGTGGTGGTAGTCGGCAGTGGTAGCGGCAGCAGTAGCATTACCTGTAGCGGCAGGCGGCAAAAGGAGGAGATAGGATGAAGAGATGGGAGGAAGAGGAACCGTTGTTCCTGCAGTTCGTGTAGGTGTAGTTGCAGTTGTAGTTGTAATTGTGGAGATAATTGTTGCTGTAATTGTACTAGTTGTAGTAATAGGTGATGATGGGTGGGTGGTAGAGCAGACCTTTCTTGCAGCAGCACTAGCCAAGAGTCGCGGCAGCCGCCGGACACGAGTGGCGTTTAGGGGAATAGCATTACTAGCGCGAGCATCGGCAATCGTCGTCATCCTGGTAGTGGAAGCGTTGTAACAGCGGCGGTGGTGTGGCAAATGGTCATGATTCATGATCATGATCTAGGTGGGTGTAAGTGGTGGTGTGGGAGACTGATGTTGATGACGACATGCTCATGATGATTTTGATGGTGATGTTGACGTTAATGTTGTGCTTGGTGGTGGTGCTGGTGGAGCAGTGGAAGTGGCGATGGCTGCCCTATTGGCGTACCTGTGCTGGTAGAAGTCGCTGCTGGAGGTGTCGAACTTTCGGACAACTCGATATGAAGGGTCTATTGCACTCGGATGTACACCTTGCGACGACTATTTGGTAGTTGACAACCTTTCGGACCCCACATCAACAACAGTGCGGCCGCAAGGCTGCCGCTTGTCAGCAGGCCCTCGAAATCTTGAGCCATCTCGAGGACCGGCGAGCCACCTGGGCAAGTCGCTTTTTCTCTTGCAGCTCATGCCATTGCCTGCTTCGCAAGGGTAAGGCTACCCTTCACGATGGGGGCTTGGGCATTGGTCAGCGATTCAAAGCCCAAAGCTGTGACGATATTGACAATACGTGTTCCCTCCTTACGGGGCAAGGAATCGCTCGAGTTCGAACTTTTTTGTATCCACGCGCTGGAACCTGCAATGGAACATCTCATAAGGCGCACATCTCACGGCCACCCTGAAAAGAAGCTGTCGGACTGCACCTCAGCGAGCCCCAAACTCTTTCCAGCGTCAAGAAGGCGGTTTGCGCTGATCAACATTGTCAAACATCAGGTCTTTCTCTCTACCCCGAACCGAACCTGTCGGACTGCAGCTCAGCACAAGTCCCAAACCCCTTCCAGCGTCACGTGGGCGGTTTGCGCTGATCAATATTGCAAAACATCAGATTTTTCTGGCTACCCTGAACCAAGCTGTCGGACTGCACCAAACACGTTGCATGAGGACCAGCAGGTCATCGTCCGGCATGTCCCGCAGAAGCGCAGCATCCATGGCCACATGCAGCGTGTATACCAAGCGCCAGACGAGTTGCAGGATGCAGGAAGTTCTCGAAGCCAAAACTGAGGTAATGCGGCCAGGGTCTGTATGTGCTCAGGAGAGAAAGCGGCGCAGCACTGGGCTATGCATGTGGCAATATAAGAGCGCGGTAGTGCCAGCAATCGCACCGATGGCGACGCTGGGTTGCCGGAGCGAGGCGTAGTCGCAGTGATCTACACTTGAGCCGAAATCGCTGCTGCAGCAAACGTGCACCATGGTTCACCTGCAGCCCCCTAGCCTCCATGGCTCCTGTCCAAACAAACCGAAGACTTAACGTCGGTGTTGGCCCTTACAGGGCCTGGATCTCAAGCACCAAGAAGCATCGACGAATCAGCAGCCAGCGCTCACGACACGGGGGGCTTGCTTAGCACGCCTTGAAATCCCATTCGAAGAGTTATTCTCCCCTGTGGTTTGAGCGGTGCGGCGCCTGCGCAGGCTTTAAAGGGCAGAACCTGGGAGGGCAAACGAAATGAGCGCGGCCGAGCAGCAGGAAAGCAACCGCTTCTTTGGCGATGCTCCAGGGCTCGAAGTGGGGTTTGACACCTCCAGCCATGGCATCATGACTTTGCCCTTCATCACTACTCTCTCTCACTGGACTGTCACTACTACCATTACAACTGCGATTGGCGCTATGGTGCTTGTGGTGACCATAGCATCCGCCATGGTACTTTGTACAAGCACACAGCTCTTTCTTAAAGGCCTCGTTTCTAAATCGAATAATTGATGCGTCCATTGCAAAAACTCGATGTGGAAGCAACAGCGTATTCCACGATTGTTCCTAATGGATACACGAATCTCGCATAACAATAATGATGATAACAATACTTGTGATTGTGGCTTATGTTGCAGAGCTGTTTGATAGCGTTTCTGCAAGCTAATGCATGAAAGGACCAAAACCAAAAATCACTCACGATGCTCCAAGATCCGACCCAACTCCTGCAATATCCAACCTCAGATGTAGTTTTTGTCATGGCTGATTTAGGGCCTAGGGTTGAGAAGCATACTACATCTCTCTAACATGGAAGCCTATCCGTTCATTTGAGTTGAACTTCGATCAAGAGCCGTGCTCTATTTTGATATGGATAGCTCTCTAGACTCTAGACGAAAGACTGGAGTCCCGTTTTAGGAACACAATAATAGCACGGCACCATTGCAAAAAAGGACCCTGAAGGGACCCTAATTTAGAGAACTACCCATGTACTGACTTTCAGGTGACGGCTGTATACCGGAGCCTGCCGTGATCGACCCCATGGCAGGATGTACCTGCAGGCAAAACGAGGGACCGGTTGCAATAATGGTTTCAACAATAACGAAAACAATAGCGTTGCTAATAATAGTAACAATCATGATAACAATGACGATGCCAATGATGTAAACATAATCATCATCACTATCATCATGTTAATGACAACAACCATTATTCTTATGATCATGATAACTGTTATCATTATTGTTGCTATGTTACTATGTTAGAGTTGATGAAATACACGTGTTACTGTCTTCTATCTCGGCCCCTTAAATAAACCCCAATCGGCCCCAAGCCGTCTGGGAATCTGAGGCACCTCCTTGGTCGAGGTGTACTGCCCTTCTCCACGACTGGCCGCTGAGCCCAGGTGATCTGAACACTCACCTCAGGATCTTCGGGGTTGAGGGTTTAGGGCTTCGGTGTAAACAGGTAGATTTGATATCGTAGCCCGATGTCACGTACTTTTTGTACTGCACACCACGCTTTTCGACGTTCTTGACAGCAGTATGATTGCTATTGCCGTCGTCATCATCATTGTAGTAACAGCGTACTATTGCTGCATCTCTTTATCCTACCTATACTATACTACTGCTAAACTCTGACCGTAAGAGTCATCGTGCAGTAGAGTTGTCGGTCCTGTGTTGGTGTGGTTCTGCCTTTCTCCGAGAGGCTCTGCAGATACTACTATCACGTTCACAGCTATCTGCAGCAACTAGTGCCTAATTGAAACGTGCTTGTTTTACGATGTTTGGGTTCCCCTCATAGCTGAGGCGGTCATGTGGTTTCCAGTGTCAAGCACGCCAGCAGCACGAGCAGGAGCAGGAGGAGTAGTCGTAACAGTAGTGGTCGTCGTCATCGTAGTGGTAATACTAATGGTACCAATAGCAGCAGCAACAGCAGCAGCAGCAGCAGCTTCAGTAGTAGTATTTGTGGTCGTCGTGCCGTCGTACTCGTCGTCATGCTGGTACTTGTTTCGTAATGAATGCGGTTGTCATTGTCATTACGACTACAATGGGTTGCTCTTCCTAAAGATGCCATTCACGTCTTCATGCTGCAAAGGTTGTTCTTTTCTTGACTATGCTTCCAAACATTGAGCGACAGCCGGAACTCCCGGCCTGTGGAACGGCGCCAACATCAGCACCTGACACCGGCAGCGGCGGCGGTGAGCGGTCGCGCTGCGAGCGGCGTCGAGGTTTCCGCCGCACCGCCTGCTAGCGGCATGTGACGGATTTTCAACCATACTTATGGCACTCTCGGTACCAAGAACTAAAGTGACCGTGGCACCGAAAAAACAACACCAACTGCTGGTGTCAAAAGAACGGAACGGTAGAAGAGAAAAATACTGCGATGATTGCTGTTTGTGCACCTATCGTCGTGCTCACCTCAACACCAATTGGACTTTGAATATTATTAGCTAAAGTACCGACTAGCTAGCACCATTACCATCGTCATTATCACCACTATCACTTTATGTTGAACTACCCATAATCGTTGTGTACCGGGTAATGCATGGAGACTTGAATACTGCTTCTACTAGCAAGACAGTGCCCCGGTTGAAGTAGTCAGGAGAGTCTCTGCTGTCACTCAAGCTCGATTTTATTTTGAAGGCCGCTGTCACCGGAAACTGCTTCTGTGCACCTCGTCCTCCGCATCGCTGGGAGTTATGCGACGAGCGAGCCCACCTCGCGAGTGTTCAAAGTCACTGCCAAAGATGGTGGATCAAGGCACTGCAAGCAGGCTTAGGCTTATTCACCTCCGAAGCGCGGGATCGCAAGGCCTCCTGTGCCTCCTGGATTGGCGTGGCGAAGATTCGCTTCTGCAACAGACTCCTGGATGCGTTTGCTTGTGCCGTTTCTTTGGTTGCCGATCTT